AACTTCAAAGAAAATTGCAGTGTATATTACTTTGAGGATCTAAGTTCAAATCTAATACAAAACACACCAATTGACCTGATGCATGTGGTTTTCAGGTGATTGTGTACATCCTAAGTTTATGCAATAATCACAAGTTCAAAGGACACATGTTGAGACGGTTTTCAGTTGTCACTCGAAAATAAAAAAAAAAAGAATCTATCTTGGTGAAAATTTGTACCACAACCAACTTCAGCACCTGTCCAGATATCTACAAGATGTGTTAGATTGGTATTAACTGACCTACCTGAGGGCAATAATCACAAAATATAGTTATTTATCGTCCACCCTTTGTGGTAAAAACTAGTGAATGAAACTAACGGCTAACTCAATTATAAAGACAAATTGTAAATGCGATAATCTCTTAAAACTAGAACATGAAAGATTTATTCTTTATAAATATCTTAATTTCGGTGTGAATGACCTTCTTTTAATCGGACAAAGAGAGAATTAGNCAAGCCGAACTCTTTCTGTACAAATTAATGAGCTTGGTCATAAAGAGAACCGAACTTCTTCTTTGTTTATCGAACCTCTTGTTAGCTCGGCTTGGTTAAAAGACTTAATCAAGGATTCTTCATCTCGTGACTTGTCTTGTCAACCTCAAGTAGACTCATTTAATACCATAACACGTATAATAATGGGGGTCAACCCCTTCAAAATGATTTTAAAAGTAATGTTGGTAGTCGTTGGATGATTGTATTTGAGACCGATGAATGAGTTTATTAAAGTGTGTCATATTTTATATAGATTATATATACAAATGTCAATAAAGCTCTTAGATTATAATTTGTATTAATTAACCCCTAAAATATCATATTTGTGTCAATGTGATCTATCCGTCCAAATTCACGATTAGCTTGGATAGAATTCCTCAAGTGTGCATTACGTGAGTCGAAAATTAGGATATAGTTTAAGAGTCACTGTGCTAGCACGTGAGGAACTATGTTAAACTTCACAACAAATTTGGACGGAAGAGTCATATTGACACAAACATTATAATTCAGGGGTTAAATTTCCATAAAATATAGTTCATAAGTTTAATTGACCTTAAATTAATATAAATTAAGGTCAGATAAATAGATAACTCTTTGAATAATCTTCAATTGTAAATTATTTTTAGGTTTACAGTCAACATTGTTCAACTTAATTAGAAGAATAATTCTTTATGTGACTCGTCAAATTGACATAAAATAAACAAGAAATTATTGAATATAAGTTTATTATTTAGTGAAAGTTTTAAATTATCTCTGAATTTTTAATTTTTTTAATTTATCCCTTAAACTATGTAATTTATTTCAATCGATTCATTCTGTTATAATGAACTGTTAAATAAGATAGATTATGATAACCTTTCACTAACATGGTTGTTGATTGAAATAAATTAACGGTTAATGTTAATAAGAAAGATCGATTGAAATAAATTATATAATTCAAGAGATAAATTAGAATAATTGAAACTTTTTTTTTTGGCATCACAATAATTGAAAGTTGAGGAAATAATTTAAAATAAAAGTCATAGTTCATGAGATATTTACCAGATTTACCCAATTATTTATGGCCGATAGAGTCAAAAGATTATTTTTGATTGGACACTTTAACAAATAAACTTTCACCAAATCCACAAAAAAAATAATAGTATATTAATATTTATGCACATAATGGTTACTTAAAAATTCATTCACCAAAAAAGAGATAAAAATGAGAATTCATAATATATAAAAGCATTAAAAAAAACTAAAATAATACAATAAGTAGGCACCAATCAATTTTTATATTTTAAAATTACTGCATGATAATTAATTATCATTTCATCGAAAAACGTCTTGTTTTACATATTCCATTAGTATATATACAACACTAATTTTTGAATACACACTTATACATAATTTATCTATAATAAAAATATATTATGTATGACTATAAATATATCAAGTGCAAGCACGAATGAAAAAATTATGAGACGATTCAAATTTTAAAATCTATAAATGGCACCAACTATTACCTACCCTTGTTACAAACCTACAACCTATATAAAAAGCTTTATGACCTAACTTCCAGCATTAAAGGAAAAGGTTTACAAGGGGACAATTTTACGGTAACTTAACCATTTGATAAGTGTTTTCACATGCATAGGTCTCATGGGTTCAACTATTTCATGAAGTTTTTACTTCTTTGGGGTCGCTGTTTATAGATTTATTCCCTTTTATGATGAGATAATTTTACATAAAATTTATCATTAATTCGATGAGTAAGCGAGACAACGTACTGTTATAATATATGAGAACAGTTAAGTTACCAAAAAAAAGCTTTATTACTTGCCTAGGCCACATCCTAAGCAAATATTTTCCCTCCTCAAATTATATAGTATCAAGTAGTGATAAGAATCTCGTTAACTATTCTCCGTTTCAATTTATATGAAGAACAAAATCTTATGAATATAATTTCAAAAACAAGCACTAAAGATCATATCAAGGTGGATAATAAGAGGTGGACCGTTGCTCTTTCGGTGGTAGCTTAGTCATTTGATAAACATTTTAAGAAGGTGTACATTAAGAGATCAAAAAATCCCATTGGTGTGTGGAGAACCGACTATACACAAGATCTAACATTAGCTTAGAAGATTTATTGGAACAGTTGGGATATTAAAAGAAGAAAAGAAAAAAGCACTCGCCACCCTGTATACCATACCCTTATCCATTCCTTCATCATTCCAAAATGTAAGGCAGATATTTTTCTCCCATGAAAGATATTTTCTTCACTTTCTTCAAACTTGATTGCTTATCCTCTTCCCCAAAAGTGGGTCAAACACAGCCACTTCCACCTTCCATAAGATCATCTGACCAAAACCATCTAAGATCCAACCACCTTAACTTCATAGTCTTCCATGGCTGCTCTCTCAACTTTTCATTCATTGCTCAGCAAGAACAGTTCAACCCAACAATCTAATTTCAAGACCAATCCAAGATTTCTCATCTCTGTATCTTGTCAAACCCACAAAACCATTGATTCAAAAGCAAAGAAAGAGAAAGAAAAGGAAAACAAGGGTCTCTTGCAGCTTTTTGGGGATGTTGGGAAGGCTGGGAAGGAGCTGAAGGATAGTTTGAGTCCAAAACAGAAGGGTGACTGGAAGGATTTGATGTTGATGAGTTTATCTTTTGCTGTGTATGTGTATATATCTCAAAAGCTTGTTTGTGCTTACTGTGTTTGGATGTCTCTGTCCAAACAATCCTGGTAGGACTAGTTTCTTTTTCTTTTTTTTCTCTTTTTTTTTTTTGGCTTGTGGGGAGTTTCAATTATACTATTGCAGATATTTTTCTTAGTCCGTTGACTAAGATCAAGTGTAGTATATTTTCTTATCGATGAATTATACTATGTAGGGGCTCTCTCAAAAGTTGTTCCCACCAAGTCTGCAATAGCATGAGGTTTGGCTCATCAATTGGTTTTCTCTATCTGAGAAAATTCACTGTGATCTCAAACTATATGCTTATTCTACCCAATTAGAATTGTACCCATTAATATTGTACATAAAAGCTGGTCAATAAGAATTGTATCCCAAAACAACTTCAAAGAAAATTGCAGTGTATATTACTTTGAGGATCTAAGTTCAAATCTAATACAAAACACACCAATTGACCTGATGCATGTGGTTTTCAGGTGATTGTGTACATCCTAAGTTTATGCAATAATCACAAGTTCAAAGGACACATGTTGAGACGGTTTTCAGTTGTCACTCGAAAATAAAAAAAAAAAGAATCTATCTTGGTGAAAATTTGTACCACAACCAACTTCAGCACCTGTCCAGATATCTACAAGATGTGTTAGATTGGTATTAACTGACCTACCTGAGGGCAATAATCACAAAATATAGTTATTTATCGTCCACCCTTTGTGGTAAAAACTAGTGAATGAAACTAACGGCTAACTCAATTATAAAGACAAATTGTAAATGCGATAATCTCTTAAAACTAGAACATGAAAGATTTATTCTTTATAAATATCTTAATTTCGGTGTGAATGACCTTCTTTTAATCGGACAAAGAGAGAATTAGTTGAAATTCAAATAAACTAATCTAGACACCTTGATCTTTGAACCAAAAAAAAAAATAGTGAATGAAAACTGGCAAAACTAGATTACCGTCCTCTAAACGAGGCCTTGAAGAAATCAAAATGCTCAAATTTATTTTTTTTTTCCAGTTTTTACCATTCAGAAAATATATCACACGGAGTCAACAAATTCGTTTAAAATCCCCACGGGGAATATAACACATGGATGCTACAAATTCACTTAAAATTCCCATTTAGTTGCCAAAAAATTACAGTCTATTACCTCTGATTTGCTCAATGGTATATTCTAAAAAAATTTCAGATCCTAGATTGGTTCCGAAGACATTACCATTATAGGTAGAATTCAAACCGTATAGTTTACAGTTCTCTCTGTTTCCAGCAGAATCATCCTCCCTGACCATCCTAACTGAAAGGAACAATTAAGCAATTCATAAATATGTACAATTTTTATCAGAAATTCCATTTAGATAAATTGAACAGTCCACTTTGTGTTCTTCAGATCAGTTGAATCTAGAAATTAATTCTTTTTTTTTTTAATGCACTCATCAATTTTTGGGACACCCCAATGGCGTAAATTGAATAAAAATGGGGACATTACAGGAACAGGGAATTGCAGCAAAAACTAGATAGCAAAACAAGGCAAAACACAAGCATTTGAAAAATGAACCCAACCTGCCTATGATATTAATATCATAGAATAGAGCTGAAGATTAATGCATCCAACCTTTATCATGAAGATCTCCTTCATAGACAAATCCGAACAGCGAGTATCAGAACAATCTTTGGGTACTACAGTTTACATTGAAGCGCAAGAAGGCTACATTCCCCGTTCTAACTGAAATCATTAGCTTCATAAACACAATATCTTACTCAGCATGTCTGTGTACTTAAAGCTCCAATTAGTCAGCCTTGTGCCTTTCAAGCTTGAAAAGGCGATAGAACAATGACAGCAGCCACTGCCATATCAGGATTAGCCAATTTGTTTGCTTGGGTTTGGGTTCTGGTCTTGGTCCGAATAATCCTTTGTAGAGCTCCTTTTGCTTTTGATAAACAGCCTTGTCATGCTCGGCAAGCAAACGTAACTCCTTTGAAATCGCTTTGTCTTCTGGAGCAAATTTGCGAGCCTTAAGAAAGTCTTCCCGGGCAGCATCTGTCTGCCCAAGTTCTGCTTTAGCCTTTCCTCGTCTGAATAGTGCTTTGACATTGTTCTCATCCTCCGCCAATACCTAGGAACCACAATCAAATTTCATACAAGTCACCTTGGAAGTTGTCCAGTTCTTGCTTTAGATATCCAAGGTTTAGTATAATTGGTGGAACATCAAACAGGCAATCAAATATAAAAGGGAGATCTTCTGACAATGATGAGGTGCTAGTTTCAAAGGATAACATTCCTGGATCTCTAAGAGCAGGCAAACTTTAAGTAGATTGCAAATAAAAGGGACCATAGATGTGATAGGAGTATGCTCTAAGACCAATCATATAGATGATGTTTTAAGGTTGTACTAGCAACATTCATTACTTAATTAAATAAAAGAGCAATTTTATTTATCATGTTTTTACTTTATTTCATTTTAATATGCATGATATAGTCCATAGAGTATAAGTTAAAAAGATAGTTTCTCAAGATATTGAGAATAGGAGACTTATACTTCTTAGTACTTAACTCTTAAATGTTCCCAGTCATAGGATTATTATTTAGGCACTACGTAATCTGGATAAACTAACACACACTATGTTTTCATATTTGATATGAAGTGACTCGTCCAAGTCACTAGTGTTAGGACACCGAAGCAGGTGTGTGGGTGCTTGTTAGAGAATAAGTACACTAAACGTGACCATTGACTAACGTAAGATTTTTCATATGGAGTTTTAGATGCCTATCAATGTTAAATCCTAAAGTTATAGTTATGCAACTAATCCTTAGACTTGAGACACCATGGTTGTCTTGTGCATGAACTTCTATACTTTAACTATACAATATATTCATATACTAACCATGTAACTTGGATATGTATTGTTAGACATAGTTAGACATGCATAGAGATTTATGAGTGTACAACATAAAATCTATCATCCTTAGTAATTAAAGGGAGAATGTCCTATGTGATCTGATGGGTTAAGCCCAAATAGTCCAATTTATGTATTAAAGCCCAGCCCTGGTTGAGAAGCCCAACCTCATTGTGAATCCACCAAGTCCAAGACAGACCAAGGCCGGTTAGACTTCTTGCTTAGCACGTCACCAAGAGGAGAGCACGGGAAGTTTATCTGCACC